AACATTTATATATTTTTTAATTTTTATTTATTTAATTAATAGATAATATAAGAATTAAATTGTAAAATTTATTTAAAGTTAAATCACAATTAATGAATGAAAATTTTTAAATTAACTTAAATGTAATCTAAAATTTAATTACTATTTCAAATTAGAGAGGGACGATTATCACTTTAAATAATAATATAATGGTTAAAACTCTATTTTGGTCCTTAAATTATTGTACGGACCCTCGATTTAGTCCCTAAACTAAAAAAATCTCTGATTTGATCCTTAATGTTTACCAATTTCACCCCGATTTGGTCATTCTGTTAAATATCAACCTATGTGTCCCGTTAGTTGATGGGAAAAGGATGACATGTAAAAGCATTTTGACGCCTAGGATGTACAACATGACAAAAACATGAGATGACAAGAAAAAACCTTAAAAAATTTCTTTTTCCTTTTTTTTTTCTTCCTTTTTTTTTTCCTTTTTCCCTTTCTTCTTCCTCTCCCTTTCCTTTCACCTTCTACAAACCCTAACACCTCCTAATATTAAATTCAAAGATAACACAACAAATCAACAGATTGAACTCAATGGATCCTTCGACCCAACGGCTGCTAGGTTCAAAATTGAACCTAGCACCTCAAGAATGATAACATGTAGACAACAAATTGATAACCAAATCAAATTCAACAGATCCATCGACCCAACAGCTGTTGGGTTTGAAATGGAACCCAGTGGCTGCTTGAACCTAGCAGCCGCTAGGTTCCACCAACCTAGCAGCTGCTGGGTTTGAAACGAAACCCAACAAGCACCTGTTGGATTCAATTTCGAACCCAGCACCTGCAAAAACCTATAGAAACCCAGTGACTGCCTTGCCTTGCCTTCTTCATCTTCATCAATCAATTTTTCATCACCATCAAACAACAAAATCCAAAAAAACAAAAGCAGAATTTTTTTTTTTTTTAATTTTTCACTTGGGTTCGATGGAACCCAGGCATGTTGGGTTCAATCAAACCCAGGCATGCTTGGTTCCTTGCGAACGCAATGCCTAGGTTTGACCGAACCCAGGCGTGTTGGGTTCCTTGCAAATGCAACGCCTAGGTTCGACTGAACCCAGGCATGTTGGGTTCCACCGAACCCAGTGCCTGGGTTTGTTCGAACCCGTGCCTGGGTTCGAAGGAACCCATGTGCTGGGTTCCATGGGGAAAGATTCGAAGGGGAAAGAAAAGGGGAAGGGGAAAGAG